CTTTCTTTCTTTCTTTCTTTCTTTCTTTCTTTCTTTCTTTTTCTTTCTTTTGTACCAGGGATTGAACTTCAGTGTTTTGTAAACTGCTCAGTGACTCCTCCAAGAAGCCAGGGCTATCAGAGACCTAGTGCAAAAAAAAAAAAGGACTTAGCACGTGTGCTAAACCATGCACCATGTGTGACCTCTGCTTTGTCTAACCTTTCTGTGAAATAGATGTTATTATTGATATTTTGATGTACTTTACTTATTTCTTTTAGCTTTTTAACTTTTTGATGCTAATAACTGAAGCTAGGGCCTCCCACCTGCTAGACAAGCATTCTACACCAAACTGCCCTCCTCCCCTCTAAAGACAGAATCTCAATTTATAGTTCAGGCTGTCCTCAAAATCCCAGCAATCTTCCTGCCTCAGCCTTCTGAGTGCTGGGATTACAGATGTGTTTGGTATGATATATTTTCTTCTAGTGCGTTTTCTATTTATAGATTTTGTTTATGACATAACAGTAGAAACATTATATTTTAGTATTTATTATATTTTAAGGCTTTATAAACCTTTCCCACACTTTTATAAATCTAATGTTCTTAACCAATTCCTTTTTTTTTTTTTTTTTGGTGGAACCGGGGATTGAACTCAGGCCCTGCACTTGCCAGGCAAGCACTTATTCTACTGAGCCATCTCCCTGGCCCCCTTTAACCATTTTCTAAACTCGTAAACCTACACAATTTTAACAACATACATATACTGTATGGTACTGCAACATAGAGAAAAATCTGCAATAAATAATTTAGATTAATATTTTTTTGAAAACCCATTAAATAGTCCATGAAAGTCAAACCACAAAATAGCAAGGGACTACTGTATATGTACTCATGTGCATGGGAGCATACATACCCACACAGAAATACACTTTTATTACATGTCATACCATAAATGTACTTTTCCATACCAATATAAACAAGTATTTCATGGGCCTGATTTTATCACCTTGTAGCATTTCATTGAGATTTTCTATTTTTTAATTTTTTGATACTGGGAATCAAATTCACGACATCGTGCTTGCTAGGTAGGCTCTGCACCACTGAGCTATATCCCCAGCACAGGTGGTTTGTTTTTGTTTTTGTTTTTGTTTTTTTTAATGCATTTGGCACAGAGACTTGCTATATAGCTGGGACTCATAGTGATCCTCCTATTTTAGCCTCCCCAGTGCTGGGATTATAGGCATGCACCACTATGCCTGGTCTCGGTGGGCCAGCTCAGCATGCCCAGGTGGGGCAGGGATGGCACGCAGTACAGAGGATGGAACCCGATCCTTGAGCTTGTCTAGGCAGGTTCTTAGACCTCTGAGCTATCCTGTTGATCCCCCACTCTTTTTTAAACTCTGCACGTTAAAATCTCCTGGGAAGCCAGGCATGGTGACGCATGGCTATATCCAGCACTTGATAGGCTGAGGCAGAAGGATAGCCCTGAGTTTGAGGCCAGCCTGCACTACCTCATGAGACCCTGTCTCAAACAAACAAACAAACAAACAAACAAACAAACCATCTGGGGACCCTTAAAAAAATATCAAGACTTCTTTTTACCACGATGGCGCCAAAGATGAAGAAGAAAGCCCCTGCTCCTCCCAAAGTTGAAGCCAAAACAAAAGCTTCAAAGAAGCCAAGAAGGCCATGCTGAGAGGCATCCACAGCCACAAAAAGAAGAAGATACGAATGTCACCCGCCTTCCGCCGTCCCAAGACACTGCAGCTCCAGAGGCAGCCCAAATGCCCTTGGAAGAGCACCCCCGGGAGAAACACGCTTGACCACTAGGCCATCATCAAGTTCCCCTGACCACAGAGTCAGCCATGAAAAAGATCGAGGACAAGAACACACTCGTGTTCGTTGTGGATGTCAAAGCCAATGAGCACTAAATCAAGCAAGTTGTAAAGAAGCTCTATGGGGGCCGGGGAGATGGCTCAGTGGAATAAGTGCTTCCCCTGGCAAGCACAAGGATCTGAGTTCAATCCCCGGTTCTGCCAAAAAAAAAAAAAAGAAAAGAAAAAAAAGAAGCTCTGTGACATCGATGTTGCCAAGGTCAATACCCTAATCAGGCCTGATGGAGAGAAGAAGGCATATGTTTGACTGGCTTCTGATTATGATGCACTGGATGTTGCCAACCAAATTGGGATCATCTAACCTGAGTCCAGCTGGCTAATTCTAAATATATATATTTTTTCCCAGTTAAAAAAAAAAAAATCAAGAGTTGAAGCCAGGCATCGTAGATTGTGAGCCCAGTATGTATTTAGGAAGGTGAAGCAGGATTGCGAGTTTAAGGCCAGTCTGAGCTACACAGCAAGACCCTATCTTAAAAAAAAAAAAAAAAAAGTAAATTTTAAAAATACTCAGATTGGAGAGTCCATTCCCAGGAGACTTCAATGGAGTAGGGACAGGGACAGAGTAAGGTCCAGCAGTGGTGTTTCATGACCTCTCCCCAGCCTGATTGCTGTGTGCAGCTGGGCTGCCACCAATCCCGTAGTAGAAGCCATAATTCCTTTGACACCAAGCCTAGCAAAGGAGCTCAGATTGGGGCTTTCCAAACAACAGCAGGCACACAAATGCACAGTGAAAGTCATGGCAAACACTGACGGAGCATAAAGCACAAGGCGCCCCCGATGGAAATCTCAGGTTGCAGGGGCTGCTTTTGTTCTCATCTGACAGAAGAGGACTGGCAGGCTCAGAAATGCTGCAGTGACAAGTCACCCACTGGCTTGGAGCTGGGGTTTGAACTGAGGCCTGACACTGTTGTATGTTATGGGTCGGTGATGAAAGAAACGATGAGAAGACCCGATGAATGTAGCTTAGAGGTCTCACTGAGATTCGTCTCTCTCCAAGGGAGCCCAGAGCCTCAGAAGCATCTCACATTTATTTTTTATTTTTTTAATTTTTATTTTTTTTGCATCTCACATTTATTGAGGGGTAAAGGCAGGCTAAGGAATGTGCATAATTACTTAAGTGAATACAAACTACTATCTCTATTAACTTCCACCATTTGCCTAACACTAGGTCCACACAAATGCTAGCTGATAACATCCCAAGCAAGGGATCAAAGAGGGCACCAGAAGAAGAAGCTGTTAGCTGCAGCCTTGAATCCCAGCCTGCCGGGATTTACAAGTGAGAGACAGCAGCTCTCCTTGGGCTCTGTCTAGTGCTCCCTGCTCCCTTGGGACATTAGGCTTTTGTTTTTATATCTATATTTCTATATGATGTTAAAGCTTGTCCTGCCTACCTCACAGGCCTGGGAACAGATGAAAAAACCAGGGGAAAGAGGCAGAAGTCAGAGAAGGGACGTGTGGGGACTTTGGGGTCCCAGATGGCAACTGAGGTGATGGAAATTGGAGTATCTTTCTTGGGGGTGCCAGGCGCTCCTGCCCTGGCCCCTTGGCTCTACCTCCCTATCTCCTGCAGTCCCTGAGCAGCACCTGTGCCCCTCCCCAGTCCCCTTAAGTTCCCACCAGACCCCTCCGCCAGATCTTCCCCTCAGCTCTGCCTCCCTCCTTCCGCCTCATCTAGACCTGCAGGCCCTGCGCACAGCCCAGGCGGCGCTGGGCAAGGGCTGCCTGGCCAGCTCCTTCATCTGCTTGTACCTGTTCACAGGAGAGCTGTATCCCACGGAGATCAGGTGTGCTGCCGGGAGCCGGGTGGGGACCAGCCCTGCCCTGTGTGTCCAGCCTGGGCTGCTGACCATTGCCTCCCACAGGCAGATGGGCATGGGCTTCGCCTCTGTCCACGCCCGTCTCGGGGGCCTGGCGGCACCTCTGGTCACCACGCTCGGAGAGCTCAGTCCCCTCCTGCCGTCAATGGGCTTCGGTGCCACCTCAGTCCTGGCCGGGCTGGCTGTCCTCTGCTTCCTGACGGAGACCCGCAACCTGCCCCTGGTGGAAACCATCGCTGCCTTGGAGAGGAGGTGAGCACTAGATGGGCTACAAGGAGCGCCTCCTCCGCAGACTCGGCAGAACAAGGTGTGCTGCTGTATATATACCTATGATCTCAGTGCTCTGGGAAGCTGAGGCAGGAGGATCTCAAGTGTGAGCATAGGCAACTTAGTGATTTAGGAAACTCTTGTCTCAGAATAAGAAATGAAAAGGAACTGGAACAATCTGGGAATGTGGCTCAGTAGTTCTTGCCTTGCATGCACAAAGACCTGGGTTATATCCCTAGCACAGAAAGAGAGAGAGAGAGAGAGAGAGAGAGAGAGAGAGAGAGAGACAGACAGAGACAGAGAGACAGAGAGACAGACAGAGAATGAATGAGAATGAGAATGAGAATGAACTAGAGATATACCTCAGCATAAGGACATTAGGTTCAGTCTCATGTTAAATAAATAGCCAATTATGGACATAAAGAGACTAGACTACAGAACAGGAAACATAGAATATAGGTTGAAAGTGAAGAAGGGTGAGGAGAGAGACTCTTACAATTTGAACCAAAGACAGTGCCCTGTGGGGGTTTTCTGTTTGTTCTTTTTTGTTTTTGCTGTGTTTGAACAGTCTCACTCTATAATTCAAGCTGGCCTTGAACTCATAGTGATCTTTCTGCCTCAGTCACCAAGTGCTAGGATTACAGGCATACACCACCACACCGGGTTTATTTAGCACACAGTTTGTAGAGGTTTCAGTCTATAGTTGGCTGGCTCATGGCAGGGTGGCATGGCAGAGGAATAACATAGAGGAGACACAGTCCATGGCAGGTCCAGCAGGTAGCAGCAAAGCAGAAGCAGGGAGCCTTCCTTTCCTTTTAAGCCTATCCAGATTACGAGCCTTTTGAGTGGTGCCACTCATGCCCCAGGACAGGGCTTCTATTTTTTGTAAATCCATTCAACCCCACCCTAACTATGTTAATTCCAATCAGTAGACTAATTCAATACCACACAGCCTCAATCCCAGTATCAAGCACCCTTGACTCAGATGAGTTTGGGTGTGTTCAGGGTGGTATGGCTGTAGATTAGCACCCTTGATTCAGCCAGCTCTGAAAAGCCCCACCCTATGAGTGCATGAGGCTTTGGGGGGACATCTAGACACAAGCCATAAGTGCTAGTGAGGCATAGTGGTACATGGTTAGCCAGGCGGGTGGTATAACCCCAAGGCTGTGGAGTAGGGGGAGGCCAAGGCAGGAGGATCCAAGTTCAAGTCCAGCCTGGGCAACTTAGTGACTTAGGGAGATCCTGTTTCAAAATTAAAAAGGGACTGGGGATATAGTTTATTGTGAAGGCTCTGAGTTCAATCACCAGCACCACACACACTAAAAGGAGGTATCACATCCAGATACAAGCACCACTGCTCTGCTGAAATGAGCAGCTGACCAGGACCATAAACTCAGTACCAGTAACAAATGAAAGCAACAGCGTTTTTTTACTCCATGGTCTGTGTCATGGCTCCGGGCACCATTAGAGATGAGCACAAGGGACCACAGACCAACAATGACCGGGGCACCTTTGAAGGCTGCAGCAGCCCAGTTCTTTTGTAGACCCCCCAGCTTGCTGATGTCACTGGTCACAGAGGCCCTGCTGTTCCCCCTCTCCACTGCCTTGTGCCTAGCAGACAGTTGGAATTTGGATTTGTTCCATCGTGGCTGATGTCCCTGATTCATGAAGCCCCTGATTCAGGTGGTATTTACCAGTTTTGGTCAACTAGAAAGCTACTCTTTCTCATTTGTAATTCATTTTGTGGGGAGCTGCTTAGCAACTATGTAAATATCCCATTCTTCATCAAATCTTTAATCTATTATTTTTTTATATCATGGATTTATAAAGTCTCATTTCATTCAGTGGGTTACATGGGAGATTGAACCCAGGGCCTCATGCAACTACATTCCCAGTTTGTTTGTTTCTTTGTTTTTGTCTTTTTAAGAATTTTGACACAGGGTCTTGCTAAGTTGCCCAGGCCAGCCTCAAACTTTCAATCCTGCTGCCTCAGCTGCTTGAGCCTCAGGAAGGCCTGGGTCACAGGAGCCAAGATCTGGTTGTCATTGGGCTCTTTCTGCTCTCAAGCCTGTCTGTGACAGCAGTATGGAATGTGTGCACCTACATGTAGACACTCATACCCTGTCTGTAGATTGTTCTGAAACCCATAAATTCACACCAAAACCCCGGATTCTGATCCAACACCACAGGGCTAACCCCTCCCTTTTCTCTTCTCCTGTTGCTTAATTCTTCTCCTTCCCCTCCCTGATGCCTCTATTCACCTGACCAGTCCCCTGTGTGACTGTTCCTCATTGTTGCTCTTGCCCCTGCACAGAGGCGGGGCTACCCTCAGCATAGAACTCCGGCTCTAACTTTCCACATCAGTCACCCCTGGCAGGGACATCTTATGCCTGGCCAATCCCATGCCTGGACGTCTGCTCTTATGCTCAGTGTGACTTCCCAGTCACCATGTCTGGGCTCCCACATGCCCCCTGGGGCCACCTCTGCATGTGGACACTATCTTGCTCTGCCCCGCAGATGACTCTGGGATTGTTTAGGAAGAGAAGGGAAGAAGAAACACTGCCTAGGCTGAGGATGACCCTGGTGGTGGTCGTTCTTATAAAGACATGAAAGGCAGTTGCTTGACCTCCCTGTGTCCCCACTGCACTCCCCATTGGGTCCTCCTGTCCTCAAAGGCTTCCCTGGGGAATAGAACAGGGGTCACAGTGCCCCCAGGTAGATGAGCCACACTCCTAGCCTATTTGCACTTAAAGTGTGTTAGTTACTTTTCTCTCCTTGCTGAGACAAAATACCCAACACCCAAAGTTAAAGAAGAAAAGGCTTACTGAGCTCCAGTGTGTAGAGGTGTTAGTCCATAATCGCCAGCTCCAAGGCCGGGTGGCACATGGCAGAGGGACATCACAGAGGAGAGCAGTTCATGGCAGCAGAAGACAGCAAAAGCAAGCACACAGTGGGAGCCAAGCCTCTCCCTGCCCCTTGTAGTGTACCCAGTCTACCCACCTTAATCCCAGCGCTGCACCATGAATCCCACACTCTAGATCCAGCCACCTCCAAAACCCCCTATGCCTGCATGAGGCTGTGGGGGAACAACTAGACACAAGCCACAATAGCAAGTTTTTGAAGAAGAAATTTAAAGGAAGCAGACCTGGGCTCACTGAACAAGCAGACCACACTCATTGGTGGACGAGGCCATGCCCAGCCCGGGACAGATGCTGGCAGAAGCATGTGGGGTGTGTGGCTGCATAAGACCACAGTGCCCCCAGGATCCAGCTGCCTTCCAGAAATGCCTACCTCTGAACACATGAGATTTGAGGGAAGATATTTTACATTTAATCTATAATACCTAGCATGTGTAGGCTCAGGGTTCAGTCCTTAGTACTGCAAAACAAAACAAACTATAGGCAGACTGGAAGAAACATCAAATTTAAAAGGGGGGTAGGTGCTGGGTATAGTGAGGCACACCTGTAATCCCAGCACTCAGGAGGCTGAGGCAGGAGGATTGCTGAGTTCAAAGCCAGCCTGGGCCAAGTACTGAGTTCAAGGCCAGCCTGGAGCACATCGGGAGATCATGTCTAAACAAAAGAAGCTAGATATCAGGAGCTGCATATTGGGACTGGAAGTGTAGCTCAGTGGCAGAACATTTGACCAGCATACATGAGACCCTGAGTGTCATCCCCCACACCCCCACACAAAAAAGTAATTAAATAAAAAATTTAAAGAGCTATTATTTTTGAATATTTAATAAGGAAATATTTTAAACATAGTAGTAATTGTTAGTGCAGTAATATGTGTAGATAGGGGCTTTGCAGTCATTTTAGAAACTTCTTTGCCATTACTCATCATGAACTGTACAAATTTTCTTTTTCTTCTAAGTAGCAAAGGCATTTTTAGCAATTATTCCTAAGCAACTAAGCTGACACACGGATACAATTTATATACAAAAATACTCATCAATGGGTTTAACATACCAGAAAAAAACTCTCCAAATACCCAACAATTTAAATAAATTCTGGCACATCATACAATATTCAGTTTTGACGTTGGTTCTGAGTTTTTTCTATTTTGTTTTTGCTATTTTTGAGGCAGGGTCTCACTTATGTAGTTCAAGCTGGCCTTGAACTCACAGCAATCCTCCTGCCTCAGCCTCCCGAGTGCTGGGATTACAGGTGTGTGCTACTATTCCTGGTTTGATATTTTCTTTTTTTTTTTAATTTTTTTTATTTATTTGAGAGAGAAAGAGAGAGAGAGAGAGAGAGAGAGAGAGAGAGAGAGAGAGAGAGAGTGGTGTGTGTGTGTGTGGCCAGCTCAGCCCACCAGGGGGCGGGGCTGGCTGGCTTGTGGTGCTGGGGGATTGAACCGCGGTCCCTGATGCTTTGCTAAGCTTGTTCTAAGTAGGTGCTTTAGACCACTGAGCCATCTCTCCAGCCCCTGATATTTTCTTAATAATTTCATGAAATAGGGACTTGAAAAAGAAAAGAAATATGTTACTATGGTAACAGTGATTGTCTCAAAAAATAGTGATTATCTCAAAGTATGAGTGATTTCTTTTTTATTTTCTCCTGGATGCTTTACATTTAAAAAATTACCTCTAATTCTCTATATTGAGCAGGTTTTCTTTAGTAATCAGAAGGGAAAGGCACATCATTTTATATATAAATTTATTTTTGAGTGTTGGAAATTGAATCAAGAGCGTCCCACATGGTCAGGAGACAGGCAGGAGACATCCTGGCCTTATCCCCAGTGGACAGGTTGCCTGCTGGCTCTTTGAGACCAGAAGATCACCATAGGACCTTAACATCCTGACATGAGTCTTAGAAAGATGCTCCCGGCCTTGTCATGCTCCCATGAGCCCTGGCGTGAGCCCAGGGAGCATGTGTTCTAACTGCTTCAGAGTACCGAGGGTGCCCCCCCACCCCCGCTGTTATAATATCATCAGCATCCTGCTCTTCCCACTGCCCCAGGGCTCTGGCAGCCACGCGGGTTCCATCTACGTGCCTGTAAGGTAAACCACACCCTCTTTCAAAGTGAGGGTGGAGACTTTCAATTAAATGGACACAGTTCTCTTGGGTACCACAAGAGCCAAGATCTAAGAAAGATTCCAATAAATACCGCAAAATCTAAAGCAGATGAGGCCCCTCTGAGCTCAATTCCTCGAGTTTTCTCACCAGCTCACTCCCATCCTGTGCAGTGTGTTTTCCTTCAGTAAATCTTTCTTACTACTATTGTGTGTCCTGCTCAAATCTTTGTTCAGGATACAGAACGCCTGGACATGCTGTAACACTCACCACCTGTATGATGATACCAACTCCTGAGCTGCCCCATAACTTGTAGGTCTCTGTCTATCTGTCTGTCTGTCTATCTTTTTGAGACAGGGTCTTGCTATGCAGTTCAGGTTGGCCTTGAACTCCCTTTGTAGCCCAGACTGGTCTTGAACTTGCAACAATCTTCCTGTCTCAGCTTCCTGAGTGCTGGGATTACAGGCATGCATCACCATGCCCAACAATTTTTAGGTTTTGTGGGGGGTTTGTTTGTTCAGTTTGGTTTGTTTTTTTTTGGTTTGGTTTGTTTTTGGTGAGGGGGTTAAGCAGGGTGCTATTATGTAGTATAGCCTAACCTTGAATTTGTTTATGTAGCCCAGGCTGATCTCAAACTCACAGCCATCCTCCTGCCTCAGCTTCCCAAGATTATAGGTGTACTCCACCATGCGTGGCTCCACCTTATATATTTCTTTTCTACCTCATACTTTTCTAAAAGTTTAAGAATTCCAGTAGGCAGTGTCCTGGTCCCAGAGCAACCTCTCGTCAAGTGTAGAACTGGGGAGATGGCAGTGCTCCCCAAGGTCTGACGGATGATGAAAAGACCCAGAAGAAGACAGTCTAGCCCACAGAACTTTCCAGAGCTCCACCAGATACCCTTCCTTGGAGCTTTTCCCATTGGTACACAGCTGGCAAAACCAGCAAGCCATGGCCAGGTGTGGTCATGCACATATCTGTAATCCCAGCACTGGGGAAGCTGAGGCAGGAGGATGGCTTAAAATTTGAGGTAGCCGGGCTACAAAGTGAGTTTAAGGACAGCCTGAACTGCATCGTGAAGCCTTGTCTCAAAAAGCAAAAAAAAAAAAAAGTAAAGATAAAAACTTGATGAGCTGGCGAAATAGCTCAACAGACAAACTGCCTACTTTGGCAAGCACAGGGACCAGGGTTTGATCCCCGGTGCCACCCCTGAGGCACACTGAGCTGGTGACAGGGTCTGGCTATTGTAGCGCACACCTGTAATCCCAGCACTGGGGAGGCTGAAAACAGGAGGATCACCACAAGTCTGTGAGACCCTGTACCAACTTCAAAAATGAAAATAAATAAATAAAATAAAAAATAAAAACTTGGATAAGGCCCAAGGAGATAGCTCAGCAGCATAAGTGCCTGTGCAAAGTCCTGAATTCAATCCCCAGTAACCGCCCCCCCCCAAAAAAAACCCAATTTGGATAAAATGGTTGGAATATTGAAAAAAAATTATAAAACTAGAAATTGCTAAATGTAGCAGGATATTGGACAAGATAGGTAGGTGATTAAAACAAGAACATAGAGGCAGGTATAGTGGTACATACCTGTTAGCGCAGCACTCCAGGAGGCTGAGACAGGAGGAGTGCAGTGTGAGCCCAGCTCAGGCAATTTAGTAACTAAATGGGACCCCTTTTCAAAGAAAGAAAGAAAAAGAAAGGGTCTGGGATGTACCTTGGTGTGAAGGCTCTGGGTTCAATCCCCAGTACTGAAGAAAAATAAATAAATAAACTTTCCATTTGCCTTTGAATAGAGTCAAAGAAGACCTTTCCAAGAAGGATACAACTGAGAAGAGTGAAGAAATTTCTCTTCAGCAACTGGGGGCTTCTCCCCTCAAAGAAACCATCTAAGCTGCCCAGAGCCTAATGCCAGATGGGTCCAGAGTATGGCTGGTCTTCTTCTGGGGACACAGTGACATCTCCTTTAGGTGGGAGGGCCCCCCAGGCCCAGGCTGGGCCTCAGAAGGAAACCCCACTGTCTGCATTCACAAGATAGAAGGCACCTTGGGGGCCAAAGCAGGGAAAGTCCTGCTTTCTTGTCCCCCAAATCTGCCCCGGAGCTTCCATTTCCTTGGCTTCCATCAGAGAATGCTGTGTCCTTTATGTACAGGGTGGCATCTTGACCACAGGCTGTCCTTGGAACGGTCCCACTGGGCTTGAGAAACTTCGGAGCTCATTCTGTTCTACCTGTTTGAAAAAAGTAAAAACTCCTGCTTGGCTTGGGGTATGTGTGTTCGTGAGTTACCTCCTCTCTGGGCAATGTTTCCACCTGAGGAACATGCTAGAGTTTTCCTTTTTGTTGTTGTTGTTGTTGTTGTTGTTGTTGGTAGTGGTGGTGGTGGTGGTGGTGGTGGTGGTGGTGGCAGTGGTGGTAGTGGTGGGTACAGGGGAAAGAAATTGCCAACCTGCTAGATGCCTGGTTTGAGTTTGTGTTCTCTAAAATTGAAGAATGAATTCTAGTAACAGTGGAGGCTAAGCATAGATTTATTGGGAAAGAAAGCTTCTGTCTAAGGGAGATGGAAGGGGTCCCAAGTCGGTTACCAAGGACTGTGCCTTTTCTAGGGATTTTTATAGAACCAACCCACAAGGTGAGGTGAGTTCAAGGTGGGAAAAATGGAACATCGCAAGGTAGATATGAAGTGGGACAAAATTATGGTCAACTAATAAGATTACAAGCATAATTGCTCAGGTAGTATTGATTCAATTGGGACCAAATGGGGAAGCAAATCACGAAGCTGGTGGGTATGAAACAGAACAGCGCCCTTTGGTGAAGGGGGAGGTTCAGTGACTCTTCCTGGCTTTCTGAAGATGAGAGACCTATTTAGAATATCACACCCTGTTGCTTATCGTTAGGGAGGTATGTAGGTGCACTTGTTTTCAGCTTTCGTCTTGAGGTCTGGCCTACAGCTGGAGGTGCCTGTCTCTCCCACAGTTGCAAGGTATCTCATGTTCTGCACTGGCTCCTTCGAGGGCCTAGCCCTATCTGACTGCCTATAATATTTCTAATTTAGTTATCTATAACAGCAGGACTTGGGATTAACCCAGGGCCTTTGCACTGAGCTACAGCCTCAGAGCTCTTTTGTTTTGCTTTGTGTGACTGGTTCTGGCTAAATTGCCCGGGCTGGGCTCAAACTTGCTATCTTGTCTCAGCTTCAAGAGCACTGAGGTTATAGGTGTGCACTATCACACCCTGCTCTCTGCCTACTTCTCTAGCCCCAGGACCCTCTTCCAGGGGGCTGTGCAGATGGAACGATAAATAGCTGATGAATAAATGATGAAGCCAGATTGTGGCAGTGGATCCTGACCTTTGCATGCTTGCCCTAGGGCTTTGTGGAAGGGCATCTGGCTTGGTTCCCTAAAGGTCTCCTGGAGAGAGAATCCCTAGCATGGTGCAGCCCGTGTCTGCCCTCCAACCCAGTTCCAACCCCAGGTACCAGACTTGTGCCTACAGCCCCAACCTTGCCTTCCACTGGGAGGCAGAACAGACTCAAGGGGATTTAAATCTTGGTCCATTGTTGGGTCTTTGCCAAATTTTCTGGCCTTAGCATTTCTTCCTGGAGTTGCTACACAAACCCCACCAAATGAAATCAATGCCCAGTCCTAGCAGCCCAAGGAGACCATAGGAAAGGGAAGCTAGAGGAATGCGGTGTGACCAGAAACTGTTACAACCTGCCATTCCGCCAGGAGCGATCACACGGCAGCCCCAACCTTAGAACAGAGCCCACACGAAGCTCCTCCAGGAAACCCCAGGGCCCTGGCATGAAGCTGACGGATTGCACTGCTTGCCGAACACGTCAGAGACACCTGTGGACAGTCTGCACCTTCCTTCTTGCTCTTTGCTTGGTACTGGTCTCTCTGGTGGGTCCTCCATGGCAGGGCTAAGTCATCTTTGTCTGACTGTGTCATGCACATAGTAGGTGCTTAGTACATGTAGTGGTGATGAGTCATAAAGAGAAAAATAATCTATGACTGCCGAATACTGAGGAAGTAGGCAGAAAAACTAAGTAGGACCTAGCTACATGAACGTGAACTTACATGTGTTTCATGGAAAAACAAATCTCAGGGCCAGCCAAATAGCTCAGTGAATTAAAGTGCCTGCCTAGGCAGACACAGGGGCCAGGGGTTAGATCCCCAGTCCCCTGGCCTGCCATAATGGCCCCACTTCAGGGGCCACTGAGACAGCAATTGAAACTGGGTGTGGTGACGTGCACCTGTAATCCCAGCACTTGGGAAGCTGTAAACAGGAGGATCACTATGAGTCGGAGCTATGCAGTGAGACCCTGTACACCCTGTCCTAAATACAGAAGCTTTTTTTTGGAGGGGGGCTGGCTCAGGATGCCTTAAGGGCAGGGCAGGTAAGGCATGAGGATCTGTGGATCAAGTCACAGCATCCCTGGGAAGTTGTCTCTTGCAGGGACTTTTATAGAGGAAAACCATGTGGTGAGGCGGGTCTAAGGTGGTGGAGAAGACATAGGAACTGCTTAGTTGGGCATGAGGTGGGACAAAACTATGGTCAACCAATGAGATTACAAGCACCATTGCTCAGGTAAAATTGATTAAATCTAGTATCAAATGGGAAAGCGAGTCACATAGCAAGCGGGCATGAATAGGGAACAGGGTCTCTTCCTGTTGAGGGTTGGGCTAGTGACTCATTTGGGCTCTTTCAGGTTGATTGATACTATTTAGGATATCAATTCCTAATGCCCATCCCTAGGGAAGTATGTAGCTGTGCTTTCTCTTTTTGTCTTGGTATGAGCAAAGCATGAACAATTATGAGCAATGGGCAAAGACATATTAACATTTGAAGCATAAAAATTTGTTACCTAAGCAAGTCCCAATCCAGAATTTATGAAAGAAAAGCAAACTCATACCTCCGTCCAATGATCTCGGTGGGAAACTCCAAAATGATACAGGGAGAAAAACTGGTCTCGGGTGGGTGACCTCCAAACAATATGGGGAACCTCCAAATGACATAGAGAAAAACTATCTCTGGACCTGACCTGAATGAGTTTGTGTTCTCTAAAACCAAAGAATGAATTTTAGGAACAAACGGAGGTTATGAGCAGAATAGATTTATTGAGAGAAAGAAAGCTCCTGTCTGAGAGAGCAGGTAGTTCCCCCCCCCCCCCGCTGACTGCTTTGCTTAAGCAGGCACATAAACAACTGAGCTAATGGGGAGCCCTCTTCCCATCCTAAATACAAAAAATAAAAAATAAAAACAAATCTTGGCAGATGTTGTGGTACACTCTTGTAATCCCAGCATTCAGGAGGCTGAGGCAGGAGAATCCCTGTGAGTGAGAGGCTAACATGGGCTACAAAATGAGTTTAAGGCCAGCTTGAACAGCATAGTGAAACCCTGTTTCAAAAAAAAAAGAAAGGGGCTGGAGAGATGGCTCAGTGGTCTAAAGCACCTACTTAGAACAAGCTTAGCAAAGCACAGGGACCGCGGTTCAATCCCCCAGCACCACATGCCA